TGTTCTGTCAGGAAGAAAGCGGGAAACGTTGGGAAATTCACATCATTTCAGGCTGGATTCACTTGTTTTCACCAATGGATGGAGTTCGTCGCCCCACTCACACTTCCTGAAAAGTAAGTAGACATTTACAAAAAAATAAAAATTGTCTGGGTTATGAGGGCTTTTTATAATGAAAATTGCATAAAAAGCAGTTCATAACTAAAAAATTATTACTTTCTATACAACAAAATTTGACCCTATAGTAAGTTGAGACATTTATTATAATTTGCATACAGCAAAATATCAAAATAAACATTTTTTTAACACTTAATTAAACCAGAAGTTCCTTTATATTCAAAAAGGTGTTCTCCTGGTTGATAACTTTAAAATTCAAATATTGACACTATATTTTGTGCTTATTCTGAAATAAAAAGTTTTCTTCTTTTTTTTAAGAGTTAAACAAAACAATGATAGTCCAGATAAATACTTTAGCTTATATTCTATACAGTTGAATCCTTAATAGTGCAATGAATAAACATGCACTTGAAGATACAAAAAAATACATATATTTTATGTATTTCTTTTTCAATTTTACTTTAAAACCTCAAACTTAACCTTTATGAGTGTTTCACTTTTAGGGCAAACATGTTTTTTCTCTCCCTCTTAAAGGTCTTTTTACTTAAATTCTGCAAGTGTTTGAGCAGCTGCAGCTAATTAAATGATTAATATGTCGGATTAAGCATGCATATGAGCATTAACAAAGGGCCGATTTGTTGTTTTTCCTCTCACATTTTGGTTTTTAGTGCTTCACTTGGCACACCTGGATCAAACAGAGCCATTATTAGTTTGATTTTATTAGCCGCAGGTGTGTTTTCCGCCGCTGTGAACTCAGGAGCTGTTTATATATGCTTCTCTAAGTGGAAGTGGAAACTAACCATACAGTGAGTGATAAACAGTATTTATGTATGTTGAATTTCTTACAGCAATATGAGCATTTAGGAAATTGTTTATTTGCTTTAAAGACTTTTTTTTTAATTCCAAGATGTTTCAATGGAACTTCCTATTAAAGAAATGACTGAAGATGCTTACACTTTAAACACATTTTCCAACTCAAAGCATATAGCACAATACTTTATGGTAAAATAATACTTACATCTTAAATTCAACATTTATATTGGGAAAAATTTTTTAAATTGTTAATATTTAAAAGTTTTTTCTTTTAATTTTTGATGGTTTTCAGGTTGAATAAGCAAAATTTAACAACTTTGTTCATCTGCTTGAACACAAAATTATAGGAAGAGACATCTTAATTACGGTAGTCTATTTATTGATACAAGTAAAAAATTATAAGAATCTGGTGACTCCTAATATGTATTTTTGGGAAAATGTTGAGGAATTTCAAGTACTTAATCCTTCTTATTAACGTATAGTTGTATTTTTTTTCTAAATGCATGTGGATTCTATTGCAAAATCTTATTGTTCTTTATGAAATAGACATCTACTTTGTATGTTTAATGAAAATTGATCTAGAGAAGAACTACGTAAATCAAAAGGGTAATTAAGGCATCATTTTTGAAGTACAAAAAATTTAAGGTGAATGCCTTTTTGATAAGAGATATAAAGAGATTTAACCAACTTGTATGTTGCTTCCTATATTGATTCCTCCCAAAAACCTTCAATAACTGATTTAAAAAAACTTCTCCTACATTAGATCCTTGTGAAACTCATGTCATAGATTCCCTGAACTCACTTAAGAGTGATTTCTTCAGACCAGGATGCATTGTAAAAATCCTTAAACCCCGACCCCAGACCCTTTACTTTTAACGCTGTCCTTATAAATCAGCTTTTATGTACGATTTGTCATGCAGTGGCTACCGGGTGTGTGACATTTGTCCTCCATGTGCGCTTGTAAAGTGAACAGTCTTGGGACTGTGTGGTCTCTCTAGCTGTAATATGTTGCTTGATGTGAGTTTTATGTGCAGTAGGCCTTTATTGTGTGTCTTTTTGTTTGATATTGGGTAATGGATGATAATTAGGTTTAATGTTTTAATTTATCTTTTTTTAAATATATTTATACTTTTATATTTTGCTTTCTCTGCAGATTTTGGGGTCCGTTTAGAAGTGACTGAAGCTTATAACTGTTTTATTGCATTTTTTTCCCCCTCAGAACACACAGAAAAAACCTATATCTGCAAATATATGTGGCAAACGTATTTTGTTATCCTACTATCTACCAATGATGGATTCCATACTTTTTTTTTTTTTTTTTGCCAATGCTTTTATATTTTAAGAACTGTATTAAGAAAAAGACAACTTTTTTTTTTTCTCACCATGCTTCTTTTTATTGACGTTGCATACTTATTTCTCATGCAAAAGCTTTTCCTGTGTGTTCTTCAAACACCACAACCATCTTTTTTTTCTGTTCCCACATTTTATGTCTCCCTCATTAATGGCTTGATAATTGCTCTCGTTAGAGGAGGAAATATGAAGCAGGGGAAGGGGGGGCAATTATAATCCATTACCCCAAATATTCCAAAAACGTGTTTATTAGAAGCAGATGAAACTCAAGCTGAGGGAACACTTTGTATGTCTGAGCTGCATTAGACCTTCCCCTGCGCTAAAATGCATATTTGAGGTTGTTTAGTGAGAATTGGGGGGGAAGTTGAGTTGATTTCAGATGTTTTTTTTTTTTTTTTAAGGGTTTTCCTGGATGGGGTCATTAAATTATGGTAAAGGATTGATGGGTGAATTAGAAAAGGCAGCGTGGGATGGACAGCTGCACCCAGAGGGACACTGATGGGAGGAGATCGGCCTCTCGGTGATGTAACATCTGTTGTGGAGAAACATAAGAGGCAGGACGTTTTTGGGGAAATATTGGCCACAAACTGAACAAAAATGTACAAATAAAATGTAGAACCTAATTGGAAAATGATGATCAGGTTGTTTTTAGACTTTTTTTTTTTTTTTTGTAAAGGAGGATCTGGAATAAATATCTTCCCAAATGTTGTTAAAGTAATTAGGAATCATCAGAAAGTCTCATTTTTTATGTCTTCCTGGCTGTTAAGGCTGGCTGTTTATTCATTTATTCAACAAAAAACAAAAAAAAAATTGTTTTTTTGGACTAAGCTTTGTGGTCATGTTGATGTGCTGGGACCAGATTTATGTCTTTGTAATTAAAATACAAGGTGCAAAAATGGGGAAACGTGTTTAGTTAACTAGTTTCTCTTCTGTTTTTTTTCTATCAAGTATAAAAGAAATGTTGGACGTCTGTGCTTTAGGAGTAAGAATATCATTGTATGACGCTGCTGTAAAATTCACTAGATTTAGTGAGACGATCCCCACATAAACAATCCATCATTGTTACTGCTGCTAAAATAACATGATTTATACCTAGATGATCTATAAAATCAGTCTTTTAGTTGGAAAAGCTCATTCAACATGAACTTTATTTCTTCATTCTGTTAAAGAAGCTCCTAGCTTGTCATTTAGACTATCTGCTCTGTAAGCTACCTGCTGTCCATTGCCTACTGTTCTTCGTCGTACTGAGTTTTGCACCTTCATCTCAAATGTTTGTAATTGTTAATTTAAAGTGAACAGAGGATATAGTAGCCCCCTTTTGCAGCTGGCTGTCGGGCTGTGCTCAGCAGCAAGTGGGGAGGGCCAACTATTTAGGTCCTTCTAGCACCTAATTCAAAGGATGCTGAGCCGACAGCGAAACTCTGAAGTTTTGCAACTAAAACCTTCAAACTTTAAAAAACCTTAACACTAAGAAGCAGTTTTATTTTAGAATAAGATTAGCTTTTATCCATAATATTGAAACTGCTTCTTTGTTTGCAGTGATACATAAGTGCTATTTGTCAGACCTGACTGAGCATTGTTTTATATTACAGAGCTGTAAAATGCAACATTTTATTTCCAACTTTCATAAAGATTTATAGACCAGTTAATCGCAAGATGCACAGCAGAAGAGGGCTGTCTGGAATAAAAAAATAACAAAAACAACTATATCCCAGGGAAATGCTACTCAAAATTAAATTATCCGTCCATGCATCCAGATCATTTTATTTAATAAGGTTTCTTGATGATTTTTTTTTTTTCAAGAACTGTGAATCTAGAAAGGATTTTGAAAAGATTAGAGAATATGTCTTAAAACATTTCTAAATTTAAGATTCCAATTTTTTAGCTTGGTAAGAAAAACATAATTTGCAGTCTACTTTGGAAGTGTTTTTTTTTTTTTTTTTTTTTTGGTTACCTTTTTATTTATTCTTATGGCCTCACTATAAATCTGGAGTTCAATTAAAATTATAAATATTTTTTATTTCATAAATTTGGCACAAAAAAAAGAGGAAAAAAACTTTTTGGAGTGCAAAAAGTTGTGTTACCTAAAAGTCAAACAAAAAACACAATAAAATGTTTGAAAATCTGGTAAAACTCTGCTTGAACTGTCCAAAAAGTAACACTTTTAAACTTTATTGCATAAAAATGTCCTGAATCTTTTTTTTCTGGGTTTAAAAAAAAAGCTGTAATGTTGCAATCTCCACCTTTGTGCAACTGAAACTAAAGAAATCCATCCAGATATGTGAGAACAGATATTTTGAGAGGAAGATCAAACACAGACACTTAAAATGACTACATGAGCTGAGTTTTATTTATTTGTAACTACAGTGCATTGTTATAATGTTCCATCCACGCCTTAAACGCCTTCACGTCTTTCATTCTAGCCTGTTGTGTACTCCTGTGTCTAAACAGAGGATAATAAACAGTTCTGTATTTAGTCTGCTGTGGCTGCCCAAACCTTTTTTTCTGTAAATAACTAAACTATTTTTCGGTTGTATCAGCTGGAGAGAAGCAGAATCGGATTACATATCGTAAGTTGGTAAAATTATGAGCAGTTTCATGTCAGAACAGACGGTTCTGCCTGTGCTGTTAAATCCCGCTAAGTGTTTAGCAGTCTTCAAGATGTCTCTAAATATTTTTTTCGAGTTTCAATAGGTTTTTTTTTTATTTTTACACAGCTTCCTACACTGTGCTGGGAGCTCCTCTGGAAATTTATACTGGAATGGAGCACAGTGGAGGAACAGGAGGGTGGTCGGAGAGCCCGGAGCTTCAGGACCGGCCCAGTCCAGAGGAGAGAGCGGCAAAACCTGAGAGCCCAGCCTCTAGCGGGCCCTTACAGTGCAAGATGAGCCATTTAGAGGTGAACGGAAGCCCAGCTAACCCACAGATCCAACAGAATGGCAGCACGCCACTGAGGCCATTAGGAGGTAAGGTGGCATTGGTTACATGTTTTGCATTAGGTGACTTTTCCATTTATTTATGGTATGCATAAATCTATTTACCTTGAATTTAAGCATGATGCTGCAGACTTTATTTGAATGCATGAAAAATCTTGAAGAACTATATCTGTTTATGCTGCACAAACCAGAAAAAAATGGCTTTCATTGATAATGTAAAGCTTTCTACTAATGCACAACACCTGACTTTTGTCCAATGATTTTGATTTTTGGGAATAATCTGTTCCTTCAAATCAGGATGAATCATGTAAAATAATGTCTTTATTCACTTAAAGTCCGATTTGGCAGCATAATGATTTTTAAAGACTGATATTAGGACTACTTAACTTAATCCGATTAATTTATTATTGAAATAATCGTCATCTAATTAAGTAATTGATAAATGGGTAACTGGAGTATAGAGATGGTAATATATGCTTTTAGCTGTCAGAGCAAACCACTTAGAGCTCTAATTATATCAAAATTGTAAAAAACATATGAACATTTTGCGTTTAAGATTTTATAAATGTGTTTTTGTCTGTCAAGATGCTCTATTCAGAACTGAAGTAGAAGATTTTAGGCTTCACCTGGTTCAATTTTGTAAAAAATCTCCTTTAAGGCACCTCTTGCTATCCAACTATCAATCAATTAATTGAATAAATAATCGACAGATTAATTGAATTGCAAAATAATCATTTGTTGTGGCCTTAATTTATTTATATATTGTTTTCAAATGGATCAAGAACTGATTGGTTAATTTGGACAACTCTGGATATTGAAATATGGCTACAGAGGAAAGTAAAGCAAAATATCACGTTTTTGTCCTTTAAAAAGTTTAATGTTGGGTATTAAGCCTAAAAGTAGATGTGTAGTGATTGTTTTTGTCAAACTGACTTGTCTTAAATTGATATTTGTATCGAAAAGAGACCATCCGTCAATTGGTCAGGAAAAAGAAGGATGAAAATAGTCAAACAAAAAAAAAAAGCACTTTTAGAGCTGCAAGCTGACCAGAGTGCACATTAAAATCCCTCAGCTAGAGGTGCTGGTCATTCTCTCATGGTGAGAACATAATCATACATCATCACAAAACTCTATCTGTTCACATACACACACAGACACATTCTGCCGCTGCCTCTCTCCACCCTTCCACCGAGCGGTCTGGTTATTGGCCGATGGCGTGCCTGGTGCTGCTGTGGTTTTTGGCTCTGGCTGATGTGTCCCGTCCTCGTCAGGAGGAGGATTGATAGCCTGCTAATTAACAGCCCCTGTGGGACACACTGGTGTACTGGATGGGTGTGAACTGCTCCACAGCTCGGAGAGGCCCTAAGGAGGAAAAAAAAGAAAGCGTCCAACCAAACGTGCTCGAACCAGCCGTACAACTAGAGTGGTGGTGTTGCTCCTGAGGCCTGCATTCAGTGCTTTAATAGTGGTCCTGGAAGCAAGTTTAACCCATGTGGGATTTAATGTGTGGTTCAAGCTTAAATGCAGTTGTGCAATGTTACGACGAGCTGCATTCGCAGAGTGGGCTCCTCAGTTTACCCAGAGTTTTACGGAGAGACCACCAGGCTGGCTTTCTGCTGCAGAACTGACTGAACTGAAATTATGACATCAGACAAGTCAAAATGAAATTATCAATCCACATCATCATCTTCAGATCTGCGGCATTATAGTGTCAGAATGTGTATTGTTTTTAAATGAACAATATACTACTGTTTTTAATTTAACTAATACATGATATGTGATAAAGATCCAGTGAGTGGCCACAGATTCACAAGTTGATTAATTGGTATCGGGACATATTTTCTGATATTGGGAATGACTGTATTGCTGTCAAAACAGATCCAAGGATCTCAATAGCGTAAAATCACGCTGATATTGTCATTTTTTGTTTTTTTGAGTGTGTTGGGCCTTTGACTGGCATCTGGGCCTCCTCATTGGGAATTTAAGCAAAGCTGAAACTTTTAGAATAGCATTGAAAATATGCCCATACCCTGACTTGATTAAGCGTAATAGCCATAGAAACTGTTTTTCTAAACACATTTACCTTTCTATTTGCACACATTGAGGGAAGCGCTGTAAAAAGCGAATCCCTGCCCCGTACTGCCATCAGCTGACCGAGGCAGATGAGCACATGATTGCCAATTCAGCAGTGCTATATTTGGCAACTTTCAAAAAAGCTAAAATGAGCAACAAACTTCTGGAACAACAATCACATGGTGACAAAACTGGTTACAAACAACCCTGCAGTCAAGACTTTTGGAGAAAAGGTGTTAGAAGTATAAGTGGAGTAGATCCATATTCTCTTTTGGGTTTTATATACAGCTGGAGAAATACTGCAAAGTGTTTGAGAAACACTGAATATTTGATCATATTAATGAATGTAATATATCCTGCATGAGATTGTAATAAAATAAACTGTGTAGTAGATTACACTAAAAAGAGAAAAAGCTAAGAAATGGCAACATCACAGTTGGCGTCCACTTCAATGAAACAAAGTCTGTAAAATGGAAATCAGAGGGTATTACACATTTTATTTTTTTAATTTTTTTATTGATTAATTGAATAGGTTCCTGTTTTTTGTTATACATAAAACCATGTTTAAAGATGCATAAGAAAAGGTTTTGGTTTATTTAATATTCAACACAGCTGGCACAATAAATAACTCCACATATTGTCAAAAACTTCTTTGTGTTATTGAAAGAGAAAACCCCAGTTTTTAAGAAATAGCCACTTATTAATGAATTGTTAGATTGTCATTCATTCATTTATTGATTCATGCATCCCTGGTGAACACCATTGTAAGAAACTCCTCCAGAGCATGATGCTACCATCACTGTGTTTTACTGTAGTGATGATGTATTTTTTTGAAGTTTTCCAAAATTCTGTTTTTTTGTTGTTTTTTTTTAGTTTTCTATGCCATTCTTGCCATAAACCCCACACTTCTCAGATAACTTGCTAAAACGTGTTATTTGTGTTTAATATCATAGGTTTGATGATCCCGGTCTACTGTGTGGTGGAGCAAGCCGATGCAGCCAGCGACTTCGAGAGCCGTGGCGACCGTCACGCTGAGTTTGTGCTAGTTCGGAAAGATGTGCTGTTCACGCAGCTGGTGGAAACGGCACTCGTTGCCCTTGGATACTCGCACAACTCTGCCGTGCAGGCTCGGGGTAGGTCCACTGAGGAGTTTTATTAAACCTTGTTATTATGAATGTATTTTGCACTTATTCTTTTAGATTCTTATATTGTTGCATGTAGAAGAAAACAACTTTTAAGGTTCAAGAGGTTTTACAAATTATTTTTTTACTCATGTTCTGAGGTTTGACACACAGGTTTTGTGAAACGGCATTGTCGACTTGAATAAAATGTAAAATATCAGGGGTATTATGGAAACGTGCCGTCATGATGCTGCTGTCATCACACCAGTCATACCTTAAATGTTGTTTACCTCCCGCACAGCCTTTTTTACAATACCAAATGTTTTCTTCCTGATAAGTTTGCTTCCAGTCTGTTTTATCTTCCCCTACTTTGGCAAAATAGGAAGCTTTACCCCCAACATGCCGTGTATTAAGTGCTCCTCTCTTAGTTGATCTACTTCAAAGGGATACATTTCTTGCCCACCTTTTGTTACTGATGAGCAATTAATGATGTCCAGAAGCAGCTGAATAGAAAGGTGACTGTTTCCCAGATGTGCCTGCTCTATCAGCGAGCAGAAAACATCAGGGCGATGCAGAAAAGGTATTTTAAAGATAAAACCTGTCTGCTGTCTTATCTCCTCCAGTGATTCAGTCTGCCCACTCGGCATCATGATGGCTAACCCCGACAATCCTATCTGACCATCTCAGCGCCCCACTATCCCCCCCATCAGTCTAAGATCTGAACCAGAAGTTGATTGTGTTTAATTCGCGATAAGCAGAAGCCTTCACACGCTTCTACAGGGACACACACACACGCGCGCACAGAAACTGGAAGCACAGCAGTTTGGCATTCCTGGTGTCTCCCGTAAACACAGGCCACTCTAACCAACAGGCCAACGCCCTGCGACCCACCTCCCCCCTCCTTCACCTCTCCTAAATAGCTAGGTTTTGTTCTAAAAAATAAGCCTTTTCTATTCAAATAAATAATTTTTGGCTGGAGTCATGCATTTTTTTTTTTTCCAGCAGTGTGGTTGCAACCAAAATTATACAGAGACTCTTCTATTTTCTTCTGTGATTGAATTGCATCTTCCATGGCCCTGACTGGATGAGTATTTATAAACTCCTAACAACGTTTCACTGGTATTTTCTTTTAGTTGCTCAAAATAAGCAATTTTTTAGGAGGGATTCATGGCTACAACTGGTTATTATATAAGGTGAGGTGACTTGCTAAATAATAAAATCAAAACTGGGACCTTTATGGACTATTCCAAGCTATACATTATTGGATAAGTCCAATGAAAGTAATCAGCCAATCGTGGCTATTATTACCTCTGCAAAGGAGGTTTTGTTTTCAGACATATTTGTTTGTCTGTTTGCAGGGTGACTGCATCATTTTTTAATAAAATTTTTACCAGAGGTTTACCTTATGCCAAGGAACGGTCCATTAAATTTGGCTGATAATCCAGATCAAAATCTAAATACATGATTTACAAGATTTTTTGTCTTTGTTATTCTGAAGACAAAAAATAGAATAGAATTGAAAATCATAAATTATTGTCCCACAATGGGGAAATTCTGGTGTTTATGAATACAAATAACAGAAGAAAGGGGAGCCATGCCTTACCACAAGTATCACTCTGCTGATAATAAAAGAAAGCAGAGGGAATGGAGATGAGAGGAGAACACACACCAGAGGCTGCAGGCACATGCTTTGCCTTATGAACTTATAAAAGGATTTTAATTCAATCTTTACAAGTGATGCGCCTCATGCTAAGAAATTATAAATTAAAATTCGGTAATGATCCAGATATTATGCAAGTTTTAGCAATAGGTTTAATTTACAGTAAGAGGCAAAGTTTGCTACCTGATGTATGAATGTATATTTGGTAATAGTTCTGTAAAGAAATCCATCGGTTAATGTAGTTTTGTTGGCTTCAGGATTATTAAATACCAATTTATAAAAAAGAAACTAAACCTGCATCTGGAATCGTAATTTTTCTGACTAATTGAGTGATAAATGACCCAAAAAGTCTGAAACTAACTAAAGTCATTCACCTGTCAGTTACTAGGTTGAGTTTTCAGAAATTGTTTCCTGTACTGCTCCCATTTTGATGAGTGTTTCTAAAATAGATGGCACATAAAGCTTTAGTTAGAGAAATCTGTCTAGAGCAGAGGTGCTCAACTCCATCCTGCATGTTTTAGATCCGTCACCTCACTAGATGCCAATGATGACTTAGACTAAGACAACTTTTATTGTCATTTTGTATACACACTGTATACAAAACGACATTTCATTTAGTACAGCTTTTAAAACCGTTGAACATTTCCAGTCCATAAACTGCAGCAGTGATAAAATTTAAATGGAGTTGGAGAAAATATATTACGCAAAAAACGCATTGATATGGAAGTTCAGAGCATTAATAAATGATGGCTTAACAGGCTATTTTTTTGCTGAACCACAACATCTTAAGCAGATGAGTTGAAGCAGGGATAGTGATAAAATATGCACTATGCTACTTTTGATTGACATAATAGTGATTAGCATTACCCTTTACCTACCTGTTGCTGCACCCTGCCTGTCAGTTGAGATGTTAGGAACCATTTCCAGTCGCAGTGCATAACAGTTGCATGAACACCGCTTCATATTTTAAATTAGTTCCCTTAGTTTCACACTGTTTTATTTTATTACCTGGAGTCTAAACAGAGTTCCTTTTGGTTTTGACCGCCATCCAAAATCAAAGAGGCATCTGCACACACGAACAGGGATACACAACCTGGGTTTGATTTTAAGAGCTTCCAATGTGATTAACTCTGTTTACGTTTGCATTTCCTGTCAGGAATGCAGTTGAGGCCAGGTGAGCTTTTGGCTGATGCTCCAAGGCCAAAGAGTTGAACGAACGGAAGTGAAAGAACAAGCCCTTTGTTTATCAGTCTGTTTGCTGCGCTTGTGTTTGTATGCAGGCATTATTAAAGTAGGACGATGGAAGCCGATGCCCATCCATTACTTGACGGACGCACCAGAGGCAACGGTGGCAGACATGTTGTTGGATGTTTACCACATGGTGACGCTGCGGATCCTTCTGCACAGGTCAGTGGGTTGACTGCTATTTATACTTCCATTAAAAAGATAAAGAAATCTAGAAGACATTCAAACAGAAGTATAAGATAAGCTAATCTGCTGCAGAGAGAATATTTATCTTCTCCTTTTTTCTATATATTAGTGGAGCTTATGTATAGATCGAAGTCTCATTGCTATTTTTTACCTTGAGTTGTAGAAAATTCCGTTTTGTTTTTCTTTTTTATTCCCTGATTCAACCAGAAAAGGAATAGTTTCAATAAATGATTGAAACATTAGGATATTAATTTGATGAGTGTATTTTTCTTACTAATGGATGCTGCGACAGATTTGTGTTGAAATTATAAAAAATGTGGGACAACATTCCCTATTTAAAGGTATAGTGGAGGATTTTCACCAATTGAAAAGACCCGCCCTCTCCCCTTGCACATGCACAACCCTGTACCTGCTCCTGACAGAGAACACCTATTAAAAGATAATCCATTTCTCCTTGTGAACGCTCTGTTTACAAGTTGCTGTTTGCATCGCTCATACAAGCTTACTTTCCAAAAGAAGATTTGCAATGTTTACACTACGTCAGACTCCAGTAAAGAAAATAGGGACAAGCACGCAGGACGACCTTATTTGAATATATTACCAGAATGATTGACAGTTGGGAGGACCTCTAATTTTGATGATCCACCCAGAAAAACAACATCCTTCACTATACCTTAAAGACTAGACATTGAAGGGGACCAAATTCTCTCTCCTTCTTTCATGAGTAAAATGGTTTCATTTAGGATTAAGATCAATCCTAATTTGGCTCTTGAACTAATGAGGACCAATGAGTTTACTTACTGCTTACCGTTATTTAGGATCTCCGATTTATGGCCAAACAAATATTTTCTGCATCAGCTGTAAATTGATGTCCTTTTATTGCAGCTTTTCTCGGCTGGAGGAGCTGCCATCTGAGCAGTGGACTCATGCCACGGTGAGAAACGCCTTGAAAGAGCTCCTCAGAGAAACCAACCAGAGTGCTTTGGCTAAGGAGTGTCCTCTCTCCCAGGTAACTGCTTTAGGACCACACTACACTCCCAAAAAAAAAAAGGAATCAGGCTGTGATCCTCTTCAAAAAACCTTGAGTTGCAGCTCTATGCACCATTCTTGATTCAGCCCTCTCTTTCTTTATATTTGTGATTTCCAAAGAGCTAAAACTAGATTACAAACTTTTTTTTGTTTGAGTCAAGTGTAAGAAATTGCTATAAATGTTCTGTTTGGTTGCTTTTTTATTGTAGCACCATCTAAGAGCAATAGTTATACAACAATATTAACATTAAGAGGAAGGTTTCACTTAAAAACACTTCCTTCAAACCTTTCCAACTGGTTTAGATCCCTTCAGATAAAGTATTCAGGGTTGGTTTTGTTCAGTTTGTGCATCATGCATTCTTGCACACAAATGTGCAAGCAGAGATAGCCAAGACGCTGCAAAGTATTTTCTCTAAACACATGTTTCATCATCAGTTCACCACACATTTAGTGCAGTATGTAATCTGACTCAGTCACACGTGCAAATATCGATACCGTCCCATGGGAAAGGATGCGAGCACGCACACCTCAATTATCCCGCTGCTCACACACACCCTGCAGTCATTAGCCTCCAGTGTGTCATTTCGACTTGTGATTTATACACAAGACTTAGTCATGATGTAATTAGTGATTAGGGGAAGCGTGTGGGTGGTGTGCATTCACAGCCTGACTCATGTGAGTTTTCATCTTCACCATTTCCCATGTTGAATTTGTGCGTCCCCTGCTCTGTGGAGGTGACCACAGGTTATATTAGGAAGAGGAGCAGGCGGGTGGGCAGTAAGTGTTAATAAATCAGTGGCGAATAAGTCAGTTGGTGGTTAAGATTTTAGTTTTCATTCCCCGGTCTGAAATACTGACATTCCAAGCACAGATCGGCAGGTAAACTGGTTTTAGAGGAGTCTTGGAGCACTGCAGAGTTGAAAGAAAATGCTACTGGCTCTCATCTAACTTTTAACCCCTCTAAAGGGTCATAGTAAAGTGGATGCAAGGCCTTTATTTTAATATACACACTATGTCATGTCACAACTACAACTTTAATATTTTGTGTTATTTAATGTGACTAAGCAGCAAAAACGTGTTGCTTGGTTGTAAAATGGTTAAAATGCTAAATGTATATTCTGCACCATTAAGTGAATACTTTGGATCATCTTTATTCTGCAAGTCTGATAGGATATGACTTCAGTAATGTGTAGATCTAGTCTGAGAAGACTAGATCTACACACAACCAGACTGAATAGGAAACATGTCTAAGAATCAGTTTTCAAGTCTTGTCAGCCTCCAATAAATTGATTTAGTTTAAGATGGTTGTGTCCTAAGCTTTTCATCATTTAGGCTGAAATCTGCATTTTTTAAGCATTTTAAATAACAAAGTTGGACTGTTTTGATTAAATAATGCAGTTGGATTATTTTTCAATAAGAAAGGGATGTAGTTTATTTTCAGTCCAACAATTAAAGTTGGATGCGTTTACGTCGCCATGAGAAGAGGAGCATCCAGTTTTCAAATTCCTTTGGATTCAATTAAATAAAAAGAGGAAAATAAATTTCATATATTCTCAGAAATGGGAGGACATTTTGAAAACCTCTGTTATAATTGGCAATGTAAAGGAGATAATTTATTTTTGAGTAAAAGTCTCTGGTTAGGTTTAGTCCTATTTACTACAAAGTCAAACAACTGAAATAAATATTACCCAACTGTTTCTTGGCTGTGGTGCCAAATTTGAATCGTTCATAAATTGTGATTGAGAATAGCCTAATATAAATCTCAGGCCACATTTTAATCACCCCTAGTTTATAATTTTATCATAATCCTTCCACTGTAGATTAGGTTGTATGGTTAAAGTCATCATCATGCAGGAAGGAGAACACCTGCCCCTGACAGTTTGTCTGTCCCTGCTGAATAAAAACATCTCCACAGTCTAATAAAGGTCACTCTAGTCTTCTCTAACCAGGTCACCTACTCTAACAAGTTTGCTGTGCCTTTTGCTGTAAACAGGACTTTTGATCAGAGATTAACCGATGCATCAGCTGGCTCATAGTTAAGCCTGATATTTGGAAGGGATTCCTTGTTGGTACCATTAGATCATGTATGGTGCACGCATTGCCGCTCCATTTTCGTTAATAAGTATTTCTGTTTGTTTAATCTGACACTTATGAAACAAAATATTTTTTTCTGTTTTTAAATATAGTAATTTTTACTTTATAAATTAAGGAAGAAAAAGCTATCGGTCTACACTGAAAACACGATAAATAAAAATGTCTTTAATAAACTGTATTTACCCTTAATTTGAATGGGTAAATGAGACAGTTTGCCAATGGAATGAGTATTTTTACTCTTAAAATAAGAGAATTGGATAATATGCAATTGAAATGAGACAAAGCAATTGTGTTTTCTTATTTTAAGTGTAAATATTCTTGTTTCTTTGGCAAGATTTCTCTATAGCCTTCTCAATTCAAGAACAAATGCACTTATTTTAAGAAAAAATTACTTATCTAGATTTCGATTTTTTCCAGTTTAAAGAATCTGCCAATATATACTGTTGAATTTTTGTGCAACCATATAGACTGATGTTAAAATAATGTTTATTTGGTACATCTATAGGGTTTTATGACTTTTATCTCACCACTTTTTCATAAACTACACATTTAACTGCATGATGAGCAGCTGAAGCAACAAGCTGGACAAGAAAAGTACAATCGAACGTCCACATCTTGGAAGATTCATGCTATGACCATTTTATAGCTTCAGATGATGCTGTTATTTTTTTATTGCATTTTGTTCAAATTTGAAGATGCAACCCTTGTGACATGTTACCGTTACAGTCAGATCCTTTTTTTTTTAGCTTCATTACAAATGTCCAGCTAACTCCATGTCCTGTTTATTTTCCCCTCAGAGTATGATCTCGGCGATCGTAAACAGTTCCTACTACGCAAACGTCTCCACCTCCAAATGCCACGAGTTTGGCCGCTGGTACAAGAGATACAAACGCTTCAAAGGTAACTTTAAAACACTGAATGCTAAATCACATGAGCCTCATTATTTTCAGAAGGCAAATGTCAGAAGCAGGTAAATCTGTTTATTTCCTGGGAACCTTAAAGCACGATATAAGCTTCTTCTGATTGTGCTGCATATGAGGCAGATCCGTATTTTCATGACTACACAGCAGCGTTGGATTTGTTTGGCTGTCACAGAAAACAGAATGCAAAGATTTACCAGATCAGTAAGTAATTAGCCACAGTATGTGTGTTTGAGCGTACTCCAAATACCATCTGAATTCCTGTCTCAATAACAGTTTTAAGATGTCTTTTAGTTTAATCTGCCTCAGGAGGAATCAAGTATTTCTGGATTTTATCAGTTTCAATTAAAAGAAATTGTTGATGGTGCCTTCAAGATGTAAAGCATCTCTTTTGCATCAGAAAGCTAATAATGGCAATTCAAAAGCCTTTATCAATTATTCTGTTATTGATATTTGTTCAATAGAAAGCATTAATTTTAGGACACCAGGGATTTTTATTTATTGGCTTTTGTATCCCAGAGGATTAGCTCCTGTTCCAGGCTGTACAAAAGGTAAGATGAGGCCAACACCAAGATCCCACATCCTCTGTCAAGTTTCTGCCACTCCATCATCAGTTTTCAACCTTGCTGTGGAGGACGAATCACATTTCTGTATTAGTAGTGTGAGAAAATAAGACTTCCCTCTGAATCAATTTAATTTTCACTATTATATGGATGTATTAGGCCTTGTGCAATATCTAACGTGCAATTGATATTTAATACCGCGTGCAAAAACCCTGTAAAATAGTCCTGCTAAATAAGAGACTTCAGCTGTTTATGATGATGCACTGTATTTACCCCATGCACCTTTTCCTCCTTTTAGCACCTTCTTCTTTTTGAAAATTGAGCCAATGTAACAAGTAAATTTCTCCACTGTGAGATCAATAAAGTCAATCAATAAATATAAGCAGCCTTAACCTTACTAAAGTTGGTGCAAGGAATTTTGTTTTTGTCAGACATGACGGCTGTTTTCCACCAAATGTGCATTGCATACATCTGTATGGGCAAGGGGTTTGGTTATAGAGCTGGTTGTTCATTTTATGTTGAAAGAACGATGATCTTGACTGTGGTGAGGATGAACTGCCATCTGAGTAGAAGTGTTGTATTGAATCTGAGTCGTTGTCAGACTGATTGGAAATTTGTCCTGCTCTAAAACCCAAACTGTATCTGTTTCAAACTCTGACGAGGCCACATTGGTTCAGTTTTGTTCATGCTTAAAACATCTATAAGGACAGTAGATCTGCAAAAGTTAGGTTTTACTTTTAACGCCATAAACTTTTTTCACTAACCAGTTTGAGATTATTTGAGTTTAACATGGACAGATGTTAGACTTTGATGCACTTTTGATTCTTAGATGTTTATCTAATTTCTTGCATTTATTCCCTAAAGTTGTCTCTTTAAAGTCATGTTAAAAACTTTGACAGTCTGACTCCCCTGCACCTCAGCCACCAACTGTGTTTATGCCATTTATTTTCTTGTATTTTTTGCACCTAATGAAACCTCCCAAAGACACTCAGACACTTTAAAACCGATGCTTACTGCTAGTCACATCTCAAGTTAATAACTCACCTGCCCAACCGCCTTCAATTACCTGATGTTTTCACACTCCCCTGTCCACCCCCTGTATGCATATGAATGTTTCGCTGGGCCTTTACATGTCGAATGTGCTGCATGAGACGTCCGTCAGCGACGGCTCTCTTTAGGAAGGAACTGTCACACATGGTTCACATTAACGTCACCCTTAATACACATGACAAAACTAAATGCTCTTAACTCCTAATGAGAAACAGCAGTACCTCCCCCAACACACACAAACACACACACTCTCTCTCTACAGCAGCACAAAAAGAATCCAGAGTCTCGCACTCAACTGAAAACATCAGGTTTGTATCCTGTCTGTTGTCTGGCAATAGAAAATGTCACTTATAACCAGACAATAAGAAACCTATTTGTCCTGTTTTAACAGAGACATTGGACACAAACACCTGCAGATTTATGCAAACCTCTTATTGAATTGTGTTTCATATTTATTATTTTAACTCCAGGGCATTGCATGTGTATAAAATGATAAACTGTTTCTCCGTTGTTGAGGAGTTTGTGTAACGGATTTGCTGTTATTGTGTTATCCAGGTGATTACCATGAGAAGTCGTGGTCCTCGCTGGAAAAGCCGGATGTGAAAGGTATTTGTTTTTTTTTACTTTGCATTTTTACTCCCCAGAAGTCCAATAATTTATGACTTCTTTAATGGGGAGTTGGATTGGTGTAGATTGGAATTATTTCCATTAAAATGTGTTCAACCTGTGGATCTTTGTGTGTGTTGGCACAGTGGAGAGAGATTTGGACCTGAGCATCCTCAACCATCGTCATCCACCTCTCTTGCCTTCTCCAAGCCACTTGGCCACCTTGGGGGCGCCAGGAGCCCTTCCCCTCAAGAGCGCTCTCAGAGACGCTCATTCCCCCACTCAGCCCCATAGTCTTCCCCATCCTGCCGGGCCGAACCATCCCAGACTCCCCCTGCGTCCACAGAATCCAGCCCTTCTGAGTCACAGCGGCCTCCTGTCTCCACAGCTATCGCCTCAGCTGGTTCGTCAGCAGCTCGCCATGGCTCACCTCATCAACCAGCAGCTAGCGGTCAGCCGCCTGCTTGCCCACCAGCACCCGCAGGGAGTCAACCAGCAGTTCCTCAACCATCCTCCCATTTCTCGTACCTGTAAGGTTTCTGGGGCAGCTGCTGACCCAAACCTGAGCTGCTCGGGTGCTGAAGTCTCTTCTGATATTTATCAGCAAGTCAGGAACGAACTGAAAAGGGCGAGTGTTTCTCAGGCCGTGTTTGCCCGGGTGGCTTTCAACCGTACGCAGGTAAATGAGTCACATTTCAGATTTAAAGTTGGCTTTTTAATTTTCTCTTTTAAAGAAAGCATTTTAAATGATCCTCCGCATCCTGCAGGGTTTGCTATCAGAGATCCTTCGTAAGGAAGAGGATCCTCGCTCGGCCTCACAGTCTCTGCTCGTCAATCTAAAGGCAATGCAGAACTTCCTCAACCTACCAGAGGCCGAACGAGACCGCATCTACCAAGAGGAGCGAGAACGGAGCACCAGCACCAACCACAACCACACCAACACCCACATCTCCTCCAGCAGCAGCAGCAGCAGCAACGCGCTCAGACAAACACAGGTACACCCACACAGCACAATATAAAACCTGAAGTAGCAGCTGTTAGGATTGATTTGGTTCTGTCAAAGGCCTAAAGGCGCTTTGTTAGTTCATGCCATGCTCAATTCATATCAATGTAATGATACAACTTCAGTGAACATGTTAGGGTTTAATATTAGAAACATTTAGAGGGAGATCATAATTGTGCTCTGGAGGAAAATCTTTCGTTTAACATGCTTTTTATAAATTAAAATGCTGACCTGCAGCCACCATATTAGATATTTAAAGGGATTGTGCAGGATTTTGTAAAATGACCCGCCCTCTCCACCTAAAAATAAATAAATAAATAAAATGTGCGTGGAAGAGCATAAACAATCCCATTTCCATTGTGCACACCCTGTTTGAAATCTGCTGTTGTCATTGCTCATACAAGCTTACTGTGTCCACATACAGCAGGGACTATATAGTGGACTTTATAGCAAACTCACTTAACTGACCAGTCGGACAGATGATCACTGCTTTTTGCCCTGTTGGTCACGTAATTCCTCCTCCACTGCAGGGTGCCTGCACCATCTTTGTAACTGGTTGCCATAGGTTGTAACTAGCCGACAGTGGGCCGCTGTGAGAGCAAATCCCATAATGCTTTGCGAGGAGAGCTCTCCATGCAAAGCATTATGGAATTTGAGAAAGGTGAGCTTCAGTGACTGTCTGAAACCGTAGCTCAACACACATACGCCTGAAAGTGCGCAGAAAAAGTTAGCTAACGGAACAAGCATGTAAACCAGAATGATTGACAATTAGGAGGATCCACCCGGAAATAAAAGATTGCCCTCCATACCTTTAACTGACAACTGGAGGAAAAATTGGTTTTATTCACCAGTTTGAAAAGCAATAAAAAAAATATTTTTTTTATGAACCAACCCTCTCTTTAAAATGGGTTGGAGCTTCACCTTTAACTACAGGGGTCTTCAAGCTTTTAAATCCAAAGAGCCTTTGTAATATTATTTGACTGGGAAATCTGTTGCTATTAACAAAAAAATGATTTAACCCGTTAAGACCAAGTTTATCATGGTGTTTGGAACCTCTACATCATCAGTGTGATATTTTTGTTCTTGAACAGCAATCATACACACATGGTGGACAGAATTCTACAAAAGATTGAATGAAAATTCCTAATGAATCACGAATTATACAAATATCATCAAATTAAAATCATTTCAATTAAAAATATTTTTTGATTTATGTTCAAAAGTCGTTTAGGTGTTACACATTAAACATAAACACAAAACTAAAACAGAGATATATTATGTTAAAAAAAAATGTATTATGTATTATATATATATATATATATATGACAATGTATTATAAATATAATATATATATGATCTATGTTTGATTTTATTAATGCTTAAAGATGAAAAAATATGAAATATTTGGCAAAATATGAAAAGGTTTTGCTTGTTTTTATTTAAATTATCTTTTTAATTTTTATTTCCTTGCATAGACGAAGTGCAGCATCTCTGGTCCAGAGCTGCAGCTGCAGCTGAAACTCGACTCGCTTGCAAACATCACATCAGGGATCTACGAGGAAATCCAGCAGGAGATGAAGCGGGCAAAGGTCTCTCAGGCGCTGTTTGCCAAGGTGGCTGCTAACAAGAGTCAGGTCAGTTGCAACAAAGTACTCCTATCAGCCGTTGATGTTTTAGAGTGATCATCTAAACAAACAGAAATACCAGACTGTCTTTCAGCTGCGACTGAAACTCGAGTTGAAACCTGCATCCAATCAGGAGATATGAAGTTCCTGCTGCCAAAGCCGCTCCAGATAAAAACGTGAACCAAAAGTATTTAAACGTGAAAAATCTGAGGCTCGTCTGACTCAACTTAAACATGTTTACACACATTAAACTCGTGTTATAATATCCAGTACACAGAAATCCTAGCTGAGTTGATCATGTTTGAAGGAACTGATGAGGTGTGTGTGGGCGTGTGGGGTATCTGATTACCCGCTGCGGCGCACCATCATGAATGCATCCTCTGATAAACAATGCGGGCGATCAAGATCAAAGCAGAAGTCTCTCGCACTGGAGGGAGACACGTGAAGATGGAGGAAAACATCAGGAGGGTTCAGAGTTAAAAAAATAACAAACCTCTGCTGGTTCTCTATGTGGAACAGACAGTTTTAAAGCTGCAGAGAGAATCTAAGGAACGGGGATGAGAAAATCATCCAAAGGATATGCATGGCCATAAGTGAAGCAAGGTGGAGGAAAAAACTGAAAAATAGACGGTGATGATCATGTTGGTATTCATTTCTAGGATGAGAGCAGCTTGTAAAACAGCTGGTGGTAGATTCTGGGTCAGCCTGGAGAAGATAAAACAATCCCTTCCCCACTGCTTAACTCGGATTCTCCCACACTTCCAGTTTTTACTTCAGAAATAACATTTGCATCCGACTTTAAGGTGCCTGAAGAGCAGCAACACGCTAAGATGATGCTTTAGGACCACATTCAAACGTGCAAATTGCTGATTTATAAATAATACAGTCTTTAAAAGTGATTTTTGGCGAGGTGTGGACATTTAACATTACACAAGTCCTAAAAAAAGTTAATAAAAATGGTCAGCTAATCATTATCTCTTGAAGCTGACGTTCAAAGAGAAATAAGGCAAATATCTCAACTGCCGAAGATGGAACTGAAAGAGGGGAACTCTTCATAATCAACAAGGTAGTTCTACATAACTTGGACCAGCTGGATGTGTTTTAAAGGACACAACCAAATATAGATTAGACAAGAAAAGAACAACTAGACTAATATCTAAGTCTATCATAAACGGTCTTAGACTAATATCATAGTCTAAGGCTGTTTATGTTGGTGGTATCATGGTTGGGGCCCATTTCAGAGCATCTGGATAGATGGATTTTAACCTCAATTAAACATCTTTACGTCTTTCTTGTATTGCATCTGGGTCTTTGAGCAGAGAATATGTTAACAACAAATTAAAGCACCAGTTTTTCCATCTAACAACCAGTTGCTGAACTCCTCATGGGTAGATATCACCATAAGGTGCCTTAAGATTTTTCTTTTTCCACAACAAAAGCTAAAATGTTCCATCAAACCTCCTATTTATTGTATTAAATAAATGTTATTTGGTTAGAAATGTTGGTTGAGTTCTGACACTAAACTTTTTAGCCCCATTTTAAACTATATATATATATGTGTGTATATATGTATGTGCAAACATATGAATAAGATTATGGTAAAACTCTTATTTATAAAATCTACAGAAAATTGCCCTTTTCTAAATAAAATCTAAAAACAAAGATATGTGGTCTAATTTTTAAACAACTCTTTTTGACCATCATTTGTTTGTGAAAGAACAACATAAAAAGCATTAAATTTAGATGTTGATATTTTTAAAAGCATGAGTATCATGGAATGGACTTTAAACATGAGAAGATTGACATGACAAATGCTTTTATTGACCTTATAAATGCACTAAATCCCAAAAAATCCTGGTTGAAAATGGAAAAAAAATCCTTCTTTTATATGAGGGTAAATTTCAGTTACACTGATTATGCGTTATCGGTTAGATCTGTTTAAACCTTGGGAAACATCCTGAAGGATCTCAGACGTCTGCTAAAGTTTAGTTTGATTAAGGATTTGTTTTATATTTATAGCTGTAACTTCAACTGATTTTTTTTTATAACTCGTTAACAGACATTTTCTTTAGGTGTGAATTATTTCAGTCTTCTTGGGCTGAAATACAGTGAAAACGCCTTAAATGGCTCCTTTCTTCTGCGGCTTAGATCAGATTGGGACATTTGAAGTGACTCATTTATCATGTTTACTGATCTGCTCTGACTGACCCACTGGCTCAGAATAAGATGTTCCTCAATATACACGATAATATCAAAGCTACTTTTTTATCAGACATGTTGCCGTTTGCAACTGATTGCTAACTAAGCGACAGCTGACTGGGAGCTCCAAACAATGGATGTCTATGGAGATCAGGTTGGACAGTCTCTGTCCTCATTTAACTCTGATAAATGTTGCTCTTTAGGTTCGGTTGAATTGCCTTGGAGGAAAACTGCATCAATTCAAAGGACCTCAGAAGTAATCTTGAAATAACAACAATTGTTGAGTGTTTAAGATATGAAATTAGTTTTTAATCCTACATTTCTAAAGCGGAAAGATTTAAGGGAAGTTTCTGAATGAAACCAACCGACAGAACTCGCTACACTTTTGAAGCAACTGGACTTGGAAGTTCTATGAAGATTTTGCCTAAGATCATTGATAATAATTTTTCTTTGCAGGCCCAGCTTGTTTTATAATCCAGTTTAATGTTCAGTTGAATAAAATGACAGACAAGAATATGCAATCTGAAAAATAAATGGGTCGTGATTAGGGCTGCAATTACAATTACTCCATTGATTATTCTTTGTTAAATCAATTAATAATTAGACAGGGGAAGGTTCCTTAAAGAGGATGTTTTTAAAAAATGAAGCCAGGTGGATCTACATTTTTTCTAATTGAGTTCTGGTTGGAGCATATTGACAGATTAAAAAAATGTTTATCCTAAATGCAAAATGTTTGTATATTGTTTTACAATTTTGGTATAACTGATGCATAAAGGCATATTTTAGAGTATCTATACTCCCGTTAACGATTAATCGATTACTAAATGAGTTGATTATTTCAATAATCGATTAATCGCTCAAGGTGGAAGCGTGTTAATGCCGAACATTTACATTTTTTATTCCTAGAAAAAAACTTTACTTTAAAACACTAAAGTTGTTCCAAGACATTTTTTTTTTCTTGTTATTAATTTTGAGTCCAGTATTTACAAATCTTTAAGTATTTTTTTTTCCACATAAACTATGTTTTATCCAAGTCTTTAAAACCCTTAACTCAAGAGGGCGGCTGCTCTTGCAGATGCATTTTAAAGAAAACTAACAAGAATTTTATCTATTTATTTTCATTGTTGGAAAAATTGGAAGTTTAATGAATAAAAATGCCTCGTCTGTTTTCACACTACAAAAAATGGAAATATAAGTAATTTCTTAAAATAGGTTAATTTTGTCTTGAATTGAGGAGGTAGTGAGACAATTGGCCATTGGAACAAGACAATCGACATTTACGTGTAAAATAAGAAAAAACAATTGCAGTCTCTTATTTAAAGTGCTTATCTGTCTTATTTTAAGAGTAAAAATGTTCATTCCATTGGCAGATCAGCTTTTTTACCAAATGCACTTAAAATTGAAGACATTTTTACTCATTTATAGATGTTTTTTGCAATGCAGGTTGCATCTACTGAAAATGTCCAAACTCTGTTAGATGTGCATAATGACATTGAGGTGCATTCAGAGAGGGTGTGGTATAAAATTCATGCTTCTGTTCCATAGATCCATAGAAATAAATGATGCCTTATGGCTTCTCTGCATTTACCTCAACATGATGGGTTGTATATGAGTGATGGATGATTTGCAGGTGGCTTGGTAGTCAAGTAACTTATTTAATTTTCCTAAATAGTGTGTTAATTCGAGTTGGTAGGATGTAAGTGTATATATATGCTAATTTGAGTTAAAAATGGCTGAAGGGATGTCATTAAAAGGCTGTGAGGGGTGGATGAACGCTGCGGTAACAGATTCCAGACTATAGTTTAAGGAATTGATTAATTAATTATAATAATTTATTGATCTCACACTGGAGAGATTAATCTCTGCATTTGACTCATGGGGAGCAGTGGGCTGCCATTGTGCGGGGAGCTGTGTGGGGTTAAGGGTCATGCTCAAAGACCCAGAGTGTCAGTCTGTGGGAACTGAACCGGCTACTTGCAACCCTCTCAGAGCACAAGCGCACTGCTCTAACCCAGTAGGCCCGCACTTCCCTAACTAATAAATTCTCATCTGTTCTAGGGTTGGTTATGTGAGCTCCTCAGGTGGAAAGAGAGTCCAAGCCCTGAGAACCGCACTCTGTGGGAGAACCTTTGCACCATCCGAAGGTTCCTGGCGTTACCACAGGTAGACCGAGATCAGGTCTATGAAGAAGAGTCCAGACAGCAGCACAGTGAGAGACTCCACACCGTCCTGCACATCCCAGACCAGCAGGTAAATGGAAAGGTTCAAACATTTCCCGAATCAAAAAAAACTCAGTTCTGTATAGAAAACGCGCCTGCTGGGTCCCACCACCTGCTCCTCTCAGCCACCCTCTTCTCCGTCATGTTTGTGTCCCATAAGTCATTGAAAATAGAAGTGGTAAATGACCAGCCTACACATTTCCTGCTAAACACTCCTCCATCCCACCCTCTCCCTAAAACCAAAATGTTCTCCCGTCTGGCTCTAACCTCAATATTATTTAGAACACAGCCTGTAATTATTGAAGCTGAGAAAAAAGGAATTGCCATTATCTTTATTTAGGTCCTTTAATTTTGATGGACCACAGATTTATGGTGTTGGATTCCTGTGTTTGGGTGTGCTGGCCACCCCACCCTGTTAATAGCCTCTAGTAGTCTGCTTGTTTGTGTGACGAATTTGAGAGTTTAGCTCGGGGAGGGCGAAGGCTGGTCAATCACACTTCCTCCTGCTTTTGTTGCCTTTGACTCTGCAATGGCAGATAAGTCTAATTGCTTTTGCATTAAACGGTATAGTTGAGGGTTTTTAAGCTTTCACAGAGTGGAAATCTTTAGGTGGTATCCGTATCGAAGAAGTACAGTAGCTTCCAAAGTTTTCCATGTTAAACCACTAATTCTGATATTTGGGTTTTATGTGAAAAGTAAATGGTATAGGAGCCACTTTGCATAAGCATACTTTGCGTCCACCAGGTGACGATGTGGCATGGCGTGAGTTTTAGGTTTTATAGGGGGAACTCGCCTACAGCTAATTTGTGTTGCTGGTAGGAAGGTGAGCATACAGTTTTTGATCACGCCTTGAAGATTTCCATTCGTTTGCCTGTCCGTGCATGCTGTATAATTCATGCATCAGTGGGTGCAACACTTTATATTAAAATTGCCAGTGAGCAATAAATGATAAAAAGCCATGATCACCTTTCAATCTACTTTAAAGGTACATGACACACAGCACACAGGAGAGCGAACACTCCAACAGCATTCATCCAGGGTCTTTAAGCTCAGTCTTAGCCTATATAAATGGTGTCCACTGTTTTCCTTACAGGGCCTTAGAGGTTTGTCTTTTCTTTAGAGAACATTAGAGACCAAACAGCATCTTAAGGGCCAAAGAAACCAGTAGGAACCTCAACAAGATAGATGTAGAGATGTTTGAAGAAGGGTTATTTTCAAAGACGATATTTCAAGTGTCTCCCAGAACTCTGTTCAATCAATTTGACAAAGAGGATGAAACAACTAAAGTAAAACAATGAATGTTTGCCTGATTAGACAGGCTGGCTGGACAAGAAGAGGATTAATCAGCGAAGCAGACACTAGGTAGCAGTAACTTGGGAGGAGCTGCAGAGATCCACTGCTCTTTAATATACAGGATGACTAAAGGGCTCTGAAAATCTGGCATTTATGCAAAAGGTAAAGAAGAAAGCTTATAAGAAGCTGCAAAGGATTTTGGATGAGACAACAGGACTAAAACCCTAAAGTTCTGTCGGATATCTCATATTTGTTCAGTTTAAAGCACTTTTATGTTGGAATGGCCCTAATTGTTAATCTATTTCAATTTATAATGTATATTATCCAGTCTGCCTGAGCTGTTTAGCTAAATATGTCCTGTCATCTGTAGATGCACAAAGCTAATAGATCTATACCCTTCAACGCATCTTAAGGCTAAAATAATCTGGAGCTGGTCGAATGAATACAAGTTAATGCCACACCATCAATTTATAATAATCTGTAAAGGTTGTTTAAATGTCTTCACTCATTTTTGTGTTTTAATTTAGCATATAGACTCCACAAGAAATGCATTGAAGTTGGTTTCAAAACTGTGGGAAAAATGCCTCTTTAAATTATCGTCTCTAATTTGTCTCTTTTTCAGACTTTCCACAGACAGCCTCTCCCTCCTTTAACGGCTCCGTCCCCAGTTCACGAGGAGCCCGCCACCCTGCTGCCAGCTCTGCAAGCACCAGAGGACGTCCCACAGCGAGGGATGAGTCCTGCCCTTGGAGGGGTGAAGAAGGCCAGATCTCGGACAAAGATCTCCCTAGAGGCCTTGGGAATCCTGCAGAGCTTCATCGGTGATGTGGGACTCTACCCAGACCAGGAGGCTATTCATACTCTCTCAGCGCAGCTGGACCTGCCCAAACACACCATCGTAAAGTTCTTCCAGAACCAGCGTTACAATGTCAAACATCACAGTCAGTCCAGAGATGCCGTCTCCGGGGATGACGACCATGAGAGTTCAAGCCCCAGCGAGGGAGGTGCCTGCACAGCAGAGAGGAGGGAGGAGGGGGCTCTGTCTCCCTCTGAGGAGTCGAGTGAGGATGGCAGAGGGTCAGTGGAAATGTTCAGATCAGAGAGGGACTTGCACGAAGGAGAGATAGAAATGGAGGTTGAGAAGGAAGAGGGGGAGGATGGCAAAACCTCAGGACCGGCGACTTCCTCTCTGTCTCCTTACAGCAGCGTGGACAGCCCCCACTCTGCTGAACAGCAGAGATAACAGCTGAGGATGCCTTCAGACTGTGAGGAGCACACCCAGAGCCTGTGAAGAACCACTCATTGTCATCACAATTAACTTTTTCCAGAGTCCATGATCACAGCTCGTCTAAATCAGAACATTTGTGGACAGATATTTATCTAATGACTGACTTAACTTTAATCTGAAGGTGGTAGGAGTTGAGTTTTGGGATGGATGGAGCCTGCGTCGGTTTTTCTCCCTTGTTTGGCTTTATTCCAAGCTACGGTTAGATGGTGAAATGGAAAAATAAATAAAACATTTAAGCGTTTTATCAGGAGAATCTGGCGACACAAGAATGAGTCAATTTTGATTCTTTAGAGATGAAACGCCTTCTTGTTTTAAGTTAATTTGAACAGCTGCCTGAACTGCTGCTAACCCAACCAAAGCAAAGCTTCTTTAGCGTTTAGATATTTTGTATTCCCAACGCCTTGATTTTTGTCTCTGTACACCTTTATTTCAATAGTAATATATAGGTTAAAATGACAGCATATATGTGACTATATGCATGATTTCTCATTACTTCTACCACTTTCTCAGGTTCTATCTGACTGGTAGATTTAAATGAATACAAACAAGATGGGTGAAAAGGCTTAAAGGATGGTGGACAAGGAAGCAGTTATGGACCCGGATCTCAGTTTAGAACATTAAGAAAGCAGGGAAATGACCCAATAACCTCTGATCAAGTTATAGCAGATTTCTGTTTAGTGTTTATATCTAAATCTAATCGTATTTCATTGTCTCCATAGGATTAAAAGTCCTTAAAAGTTATTTTATTTCAATAATTTAATTCAATGACTGAACTGAATTGACTCATCACTAAATTATTCTACACTTTATTTTATTTTAAATATGCTTAAATTCAGGAAATGCAAATAAAACCTGCAGTAAAATCTATAAAGGAATTTAATGGATAAATAGAAGAGCATATCCACTCTGGTTGGGGCTTACTTTGCTTGAATTACTGCACCAATGAGGCATGACATGATCTACTGAACTGTTTAGTCCCTGGGTCATTCTATACAAACCATCAGCAAGTCTACTTTATTGGATAGCAAGGTGGCCTGACCTAAAAACACCAAAACCAATATTTCAAAGTGGAACCATGGTTTTCTGATAGCCATGAAAGGAAACTTATCCTTTTTCTACTAGACTTTTTCCTTCCACCAAACTTCCCATGAACATGCTTGGAAACAGCACTTCCCCCGCGATTAAGAAGGCAATAACTTTTCTGTTTTTGTAATCCTTTCTTGATTGGTCCGGGACTATTGGAATTTCCTTACATTTTCAAACCTGACAGAAATAAAAACCCTAAAATGTGTGTTCATTTTAAGAGTGTACAATTCTGAAAATAAGTTAACTTTTTCAAACATGATAATTATTGAGATTTATTGTAAAACATTTTGACTGATCTGTATGTGAAACGGTCACATAAACCTCTGCTGATAATAAAACTGTTTCTCACCATCATTCTAACACCAGACTTTTGCTTTTATCTGGAATTTACAGCATCAAAGATAATTGTGTTTTTGGATAGTGAATTAACCATTTAAGTCCCTTTTTAACCATTAATCTATTTAATAAATAAGAACTTTTAAATCCATTTAGATTTGGCTCATGTATATAGTCTTCTCTTAATCCTAAGAGATGTTAAAAACACCAATTTATGTGACAAAACACTGTAAAATTAACAAAAAATCTAAAGAATTGTCTGTCCTCAAACCAAAGCTGAACCACAAACATTAAAAGCTTTATCCATAATTCAGCAGTGTTTAATTTTCCATATTAAAATGCAAGAAACCCAAAGTACTAATGGTTGTATTTCTTTTAGAAGTTGCATTATGACCAGTTTTAAGAGATTACTTCAATGTATATCTGTGATTCACAGTATGAGTAGATCTATGCTGATGTTTGTGCTGAATTATCAGATCTGGGAGTCATTAGGAAGAGATTAATTTATGAGTTCTGCTAACTGTGTGCAGCTTCTTGTCGTCTCTACTTGCCAAAACACCTGCTAACAATTTAAACATGTTGCTTTACTTCTCAATACTGCAGAGCCAGAAAACTGGTGGGTGAGGTCCTTGGTAATCTGAAACTGTAACAGATTAAGAGACAACAGAGACCTAATGCCTAAACAACGATTTGATTTATGACAACTTCGGTGTATTTTCTTGGGATTGTATGATGGAAAATCACAACAGTTTTTTTTTTTATTGTTTACATCTCTAAATAGATGTATACTAATAGATATTATTCCCATTTTCTTTGTTAAATAGCTCAAGATTATTGCTGTTGGTTATAGTGTCTTTATAATGCATTTTTCTAATCTGTCCATAATCTTTCTGGACTTTGACTAGACCATTTTAACAGATATTTTGAAACATTAATTGTTATTAATCGATGAATTAATTGAAATAATCGTGAACTAATTTAGTAATCGGTTAATCGTTAACTGGAGTTTAGAGACTGTAAAATATGCCTTTAGGTGACAAATCAACAAACCATTGAGCATCAATTATAACAAAATTGAAAAAAAATATATATATAAATATTTAGCATTTAAGATAAAAACCTTTGTAATCTGTCAATATGCTCTATCCAGAAGTCCTCAAGTGGAATGGCTTAATTTCACAAAAAGACTTCTTTAAGGAACCATTTCCAATCCAATTATTTACCAATTAAATCAAATAATTGAAAGATTAATCAAGTTGCAAAATAATCGATAGTTGCAGCCCTACAAACAAGTAATTCCATCACAGCTCTAGTCATTCAGGGTTCCTGCAGAATCAGTCTCTGAAGGAAATATCCCATAGCATAATGCTGCCACCAACGTGTTTCACCATGAGAGCGGTATGTGAAGGGTGATGCATGTCGGTTATCTACGCATATATACAAAAATTTACATTTTGGTCTCATCTGACCAGAGCGCTTTCATGACAGGATCTCTAATGGCATGTTTTCAGCAATGTTTCATAAAGAATATCAGCGATTCTCCCACCTTATCTCTGATCCATGGTCTCCTGATCCAATATGTTCAGGCAGACCATTGCATCCTTCATGCGCAGATTAAATGACACAGATTGACTTCATTTACTGTAGAGATTACTTTAAAGCTGTTATTGATCAATTTTATTTTAGGGTTTTCAACATAAACTGAATACAAATGTATAGTGTGCTTCCCTGTTTCTTCTATTTAAATGTAGAAAAGCAAATGAGAACTGTAAACGGAGTGCTTGTGAAAAGTAAATGAGCTCCGTGTCATATAAAAGTTGTGTCAGCGTGAAATATGTGTGTGCTTTTATGTGGCTCTTTCTATTGCTCATCGGCTGTTTGGAGTGTGATGAAAACTAATCGGAGATCAGTTAACTCATCAGTGAGTGCCGGTACGCTCCACCGCTTTCCTGCTCACACAGCTGGCTATTAGAGCCGTATGGCGAGCTGATACATGGCCATTAGAGGTGTGTGTGTGTGTGTTTGAGCTGTGGGACAGGGACGCAGGTGCTCTGTTGGCTGATATCACCCAGGATGCCCTAGTTGGGGGCATTCAGGTTACACGGGGAAGGAGGCTCTCCGCGGAGCTTGCAGCCACACCTGTGATCCCCTGCTAACATGCTCACACACTCAAATACTCACACCGTGTTCCCTCAGCTCCTGCACTGCAGCACGTTAATATACACTCTGATAAACAGGCTAATACTTGCAGTGGCAGCACTTTACACACCACTGAATGCAACACATGGCAATTGGTGAGGCCGACACATGGCTCGGAGTGCTCGTGCGTGATATTTTGGAGACTTTTGAGTCAATCATGCTTCATCTGATCCTAGTAAGCTGGTATACTAAGCCGCTACAAGCTATAATTTGGAAAAGCACTTTTTTTTCCATAACCTAAGATTTGTATTGATTTCTTTTTGTGCTTAAACTGCTTTGAAGGAAATGGAGAGGGAAATAAATCTTTACCAACTTTACTGTGATTACAACAGAAAAGTTAATCAGAATCGGAATCAGATTTATTACCATGTAGGTTTGCACTTAAAAGGAATGACTCTGTGTTGATGGTGCAGACAAATCCGATATATATACAGAATACAGAATCTATAGCTATATACAATATAAAACATACAATATACTATATAAAATATATAGTATATAGCCATATTCTAAATACACAGTAGACTGTGCATTAATGTAACACAGGAGGTCTGGAAATGCTATGTTAGTGTAGGTTCTAGGCCCTGAAGTCTCTGAGTCTTGTTGATAAGGCTGGTAGCGGATGGGAAAAAACTGTTCTAGTGGCATGAGGTTTTGGTTCTGATGGACAGCAGCCTCTTGCCAGAGGGACGCAGTTGCAGTATCTATTCATAGAAAAAAATTAATAACGTCTAATAACCTCTTGATGCCTGTTGTTGCACAAATGCATGAAACTATTATTATAACTCAAACAGCAAAGATTGCATGTGCATTACCCCATTACAAATTATTCATGGCAAACCCATGAAACCTTTATTTAACACTTGTTTCTGCTACGACTGCTCCATAGCGGTGTACAGTATGTTATCACTGACCCTTATAACTGTTATTACAAAGTTGCAACATACCTAAATTTAGTTTAAGATACATTTTATTAGGTTTTAAGATACATCTTTTCAGGTTTTATTTAAAAATATCTTTAAAATATTTTTATTTGATCCTTTAGGACTAAAAAATTCTTTAATTGAGGAGACTGACACCTCAGTAGTTCAGCACTGATGCATCTAAGCCTGTAGTCTATTCTCCATGAATGTACTTTGGGATTGGAAGTTCCCGTGCTGTTCTGTGAATGTGACATCCAGTTCATGAATGTTGTATGGGTCCAACATAGCAAAAAATCCAAGCGTTTTATTTAAGATGCAGCTGCAGATGGATTTGTCGGCTGCATAATAAGGCGTCTTCCAATCCGAACAGGCCTTAGGGCCGTGCTATGAAGTAATTGGCCGACGAATCTGGCCTTTGGAGGACGCTGCCACTGAATTCGAACTGAGCAATTGTTTGCGTCCTAATAGTCGCACCCATGTCTGAGGACTTGCTGTACATTCATGAAATTGCTTTATACAGTAGAACCTGCATAGCTACATGAAGCAGGCTTAAATCCCTTAAAGAAAAACACATCTTGCTCTGATTTTAAGGAATGAAAGAATAGATGGAAGTTCCACCATTTTTAGTATTTTTGAATTCCAGTGAAACACAGTAAGACCTCCTTACTAGAAACTGAGAATATATGGACCGTAAGCGAATCTTTCCAGGAGGGGGTCACCTCGGCTCCCAGATATAGCCAACAGATTCCTGCACAGTTCATCCAGGAGGTCACCAAAGAACCCAAAACAACATGTAAAGATTTTCATGCCACTTTTTGTTCAGCTAGGGTCAGATTTTATGATTCTACAAAAAGAGAGACTGGATCAAAATGGCCTCCATGGGATAGTCTGAAGGCCAAACCACCACTGACCAAAAAGAAAAATGCAGACGATCCTCGAGACAGTTTAAAGGAATTCTCTGAGGAGCGACAACACGCAATGTTTGGATAGTGTCTCGTCCGACACTCATACCAAACAATCATTGGTGGTTGTTTTTCTACCTGTGTTGAACATCTATCACTTTTTTATAGTAGCATACTGTATTACTTATGTATATAATTTCCCAAATAAAGAGGGGTAAAATTTGAAAAGAAAAAAAATATAAATTTTTCCATTACAATAATATCTTTATCTAATATAAAATGTGTTTGATGACCTTAAACATTTTAGTGTGAAAAAGAACAATAAAAGAGATTCAATTTAAAAGAAGGCATAAAGTTTGTTTAGGTAGATCTAAGTTCGCTGAAGCCCAAATTATGCTGAAAGATGAGTTAAGAGCACCCTCAGCTCCCTGCTGTTGGTGGAACACGGCAACACAAAGCCCTAACAACTTTGACACACACAGATGGTAAAACACACCCTGAAAACAACCAAAGATGAAACGAGGCAGCAAACAACCACATCACATCTCCTTGAAAAACAAACATTTAATTATAGCAGCTCTGCCGCATTATTGGCCGTGCGGAGGGTTTTGATGTGCGCCACTAAATAGCGTTACTTTGAGCCAGTAACATTTTTACACCCACAAAAAGACACTCAAAGTAAATCCCTTTAAGGGGAAAATGAAAAAGAAAATTCCAAATTAATAAGGCTTTAACTTCTAACAGTCTGGAATCGGATAATTTAATGTTCCATTTCGAGTAATAAAAGGCTACATTTGTGGAAAACACAAAAACTTGCCACCAAATGGATTTTAAGGCAAATTATGGAGTTAACTCCACATTTCAGAACAACAGATGGGCTTTTATGGTTCTGCCTTTTTGTTTTGTTTTTTAAAACCGATCAACATACATTTATAAATGTATTCTTGCTTATTTAATTAACTAAAATTTATTTGGTTTAATTTTTTTATTTTTTTAAGATCTTTTCTCCTGTGTTCATAATTCA